TCTGTCTGTCTGTCTGTCTGTCTGTCTGTCTGTCTGTCTGTCTGTCTGTCTGTCTGTCTGTCTGTCTGTCTGTCTGTCTGTCTGTCAGTCTGTCCAAAGAGGAATAAAAGTGATACATACCTCAGGATCAAAGCCTGAAATATGAGAAAGAAAGACAAATGAACATTGAACAATAGAAAAAGTGAGCTTTTCACAATGTGATTCTCCATCTTTATCGCTCCATCAACTCAGTTCAGATCGTAACGATAAAAGGATAGGGCTGCCTCTGAGCTTCCTGTCTTGTCATAAACTACCTCGGATATGTGGGTTTTTCTAAAATTCTAAATTCTAACCGAGTATGTTCACCTTGATCGGGCTTCAACAGGAACGTAATAAAAAAAACCCAGCAACACAATGGTAACAGAATATGTGTTCTCTTATATCATCAGCATCATCATCATCATCATCATCATCATCATCATCATCATCATCATCATCATCACCATCACCATCACCATCATCGTCATCATCATCAAGTGCCAGATCTACCATAGACAACAGACATCAGAAATCATGTTTCTCCATTCATTCCTTTGCTCGAAAGCTTTCCTACAATGTATAATAATCCTTGTCTTTCCTCGTCGCCTGTTTGTTTAGGCTTTCCCTGCAAGTTGCCCCGGGTCTACCCCTGCTCTGTTCTGCTCTGTTCCTCCTCCCTTTCACCAGTGAGAGAAAGATGTTCTAGGTTTTTCCACAGATTCAACTTTCAAGTCCTCCGGAAACCGCACTTGTTTCTTCTCAAGAGTTCTTATTTTGGAAGTCAATTGAAATCTGTTTATTTTTTCAGGATTAGGCTCAATTTATTCAAAGTGTCTTCAACTATAGCAATACAGCTTTTTATCCTCCACCATCAAAAACTCCATAGTCTTTCATTTTGACAGAGTAAAGAGAAGCACATGGACACATTAAAAGCCATATTATAGTTACCCTCCTACCTCCTACCTACCAGTGGCACCCTCCAACCTCCTACCTACCAGTGGCACCCTCCACCACCTAC